ATGTCAACTTTGATGAATGCCATTCAGTAAACGCGGGCTCTGAATGTAAGCAGTAAATCCATTATTGACATGTAGTGTGGTTGACAGAAATGTCAATAGCAATCAAAAGAGTATTTCATAACACAGGGATACATAAGAAATAGATTATTTTGCCTGACTGGATGGAAAGGCCTCCATATCACCTTGCTAACCAAACCACCTTTTGCATTGTTGTTTTTTGCGAGCTGCAGAACTTCACATCAATGGAAATAAATCAATACCTCTGAACGGCGCTGCCGGGGTGATTCAGAAGAACAGCCCAAGATGCATTAAGATCAGCTCTTTGTCTGGCCAGCTCCGTGTGTTCACTTGCATAAATGAATCAAGGCAAATTATACTCAGCATGGTGCACGAATCCTATCTTTGCTTCTATCCATAGTTATGTGTTAACTGAGAGCTGCCCATATTTGGTCTCCTCCTTTTATTAATTTTTAGTTAATAGCAGAGTGAGTGGTTTTTATCACTTTTCTTTAAATTATCCCTGCATGGTGCATGCCTCTTCACTCTCCATCGGTCTGTCTGATGTTGCACAATTGGCCCTAATCTGCTGTCTTCCCTTCAACGCTCATGGTTGCCGGCATCCTCACATCTCTTAAGTGATGCTGTTGGTCAGTTACTTTCTTGGTTGTCTTTGGAGTGTCTGTTGTTTTCTGGGGTAACCAGGACAGGAAAACATTGGCTCCGTTGTCCCCCATTGTTAGAAGGCTGTGGGATGAGGACAAACCTTCAGCTGGTGTTCACCAGCAGGGAAGAGATGAGCCACCCCATCCGAGTGGGCTTCTCGGATGCCCAATCAAACAGCAGCCCACTCCTCGTTTTGTTGGAAGATTGGGCTTCCTGCTCATACCAGACTTCCTATGTTGTGGTGTTCAGAGTTTGGGAGCAGCTGTTGTATTGTCTCCTTGAAATGATGGTGGCATATCTTTTAAATATATGTTTGTGGCGTTACTTCTGCGTTGAACAATTATTGTCACAATCCGTCTACTCCACCAGAAATCACCCCTAATTACCAGTTTCTCTTTGTCTGGGTTGGAAACAAATATAAGATCAGTAATCATTTAAAGCTGTGGATCTTAAGGTTAAATATTTGACAATCGGACGCCGGCTTAATGGAGCATGAGATTGTTCAAACTCATGGCCTGCTATGACTTGAACTGTCATCAGGAGAGACTATCCGTGGTCTGTCCTGCCTTACAACCGTCTTTCCTTTCTTCGTGAGATGGAAGCTAGTTGACGTGTGTTATCAAAATTTCAGAAAGCCGTAGTGCCAAAGTTTTATATATGTAAGAGTAACTGTAGGCTCCTACAGATATCAGGAAGACCTCAATGTAAGCCCACCTGGAGCTGTGCAAATGTTACACTATTCCTGGTGAGACTAAAAAGAGAACAAGAGGACATTTAAAGAATAGGCACAAGGCACATTGTATCCAGGCATGGTGCGGAGTAAAATAAGCCAAAATAATTCCTTAGCAATGCAGAAACTTTCTCTGGATTTGGGTGGGTGTTTGCAGAGTGCTGTTCTTTCCTTGCTTCTGGGTCTGCCTTGAAATGTGGTTTTAATGAGGGGTTTAGCTTTGAGTGCCAGGGAGTTACATAAAGGGCCACGATGGTCGGTTTGATTTTCTTTTCCTTTCTCTTTCTCTTTTCCATCCCCTGGCCAAGGTTAGGCAGAAGACATTGTGCCTGTCTTTTCCTGACAGATATTAATGACTTTTGATTCAGAGTCCTCTCTGAAGAATTAAGCCAGGGTGAAGGCCGCCTTCTGCGGAGGGTGGGTGCCTCCACATCAGCTCCATCGCACGCTTCCTTGTAAGGAAGGATGGAGCTGATCTGGTGAGGAGCAGAGGAAGAAAAGCCAACAGAAGGAAGCATCTCTGGAGCTTTTCCTGGTCATCTGTGGGGGAATCTGGAGATAACCGGGAGGAAGGTGTGCAGGGAGGAAGGGTCACCATCAGTCCTGGAAAAGCAGAAAGTGTGAGAAAGAAGCTCCGTGCAACAATCAACCAGCATTCCTGGAATCTGCATCACGACCTGGCCCACCTCACAGGATGGATGTCCTGCTGTCCCTTGTTCGTGATTTGGAAGCTTCAACCAGGATGAATTTACAGCGGTTGCCCTAGGGCCATTTAGTTGCCCCACGAAAGGTCAACGAGGGGCAGATTCATTCAACAACTTAATGACTGTGGCAAAAGGTTGTAAAATCAGTCTTGGTCACCTAATGAACCATTTAACAATCACATCGCTTAGTGATAGAAATTCCGGTCCCAATTGTTGTCGTAAGACAAGGACCATCTGTCTGCAGGATCTTGTATGCAGCATCACAGAGTGCAGAGTCAACACAATCCAAAGCGCAACAGATGCCTTTCCCTTTTATTAGAAGACCTTCTACAAGCCAACCCCCCCCACCTGTGCACCTGTGCACGCTTGATACCCGACACGAACAAGGAAGAGAAGTGGGGAGGAATTGGCCACATAGACGAAAAGGTGTTAAGAGTTTCTCACAATTAGTTTTACACTTTGTCTTGGCCTTTCTTTCCTGTCTCGATGCTTCAGTTCCTTTTTCAAGAAGAGAAAAATAATCGACGAATGAAGGAAAATATGATCCATGCAAAGAAAAAGAGACCCGTTTTAGAGCAGGAAGCCCCCTCCTCTGACTAGGGGCTTTTGACTGCTCCAGTCCTTTTTAACCTACCTACACATTTGCAAGTTGCCTTAAGACCAAATCATCCTAGAAATGTGAAATATAAATGGTTCTGGCCACAGAAGGGCCAGAGAATGAATTTCTACCCTCAGGAAGATTCAGGGATCTTGGAAGCACTTTTGACATGCTCTTGGACGTCTCTCCCCTCGCTCACTCTCTTTCCCAAGGGCCAGATTGGGTGTGAAAGATCATCAGACCTAACTTGGTGCAACTGCCAGATCTAGGACGCCTGGGCGGAATAGCCCCATGGAGTTTGTAGTCCAGAAAGAGCCTTCTTGTAGATCTGTAGCCCCTCCCTTCGTGCTACAAACCCACCCCCCCGTAAACCAGTTCTCTTCCAGGCATATTTTAACACAATGTTTGTATACGTTTCTGGCTTCTAGCAATACGGTTGAAAGCTTTGATCTCCTGCTTTTTTTCCATCTAGAAAGACGGGAGTGAAGAAACTCTGTTTTGCTGAGACAGACAAATTGCCAGGCAATTCAATTTGGTGGGTTTCCTGCCCACCCGCTCCCCCACTCCTTCCTGCTGCCGCTTTTCATTTCTGCTCCATTCGGTAAAACCCAGCCCAGCCGAAAATGCCATTTCTGTCTAGCTACAAGATCTGCAGTTCATTCAGTCCCAAAGTTGTAATTAGTGCTTTTGTCTGTCAAAATGTACCAAATGTACCAAAACACAACATCCAAGAATTGTGAAGAGGCTGAGCTGGGGGTCTCTGCCTTCCCTTCTCTGGTTCCAAAAGCTGGAGGGCTGCTCCAGATCAATGGTGGGGTGGGGTTTCCTCGGGGGTCTTTTGCTCTGCGCTGACAGACGCGGCTCAATCGATCCATCTGGAGGGCCCCTCCCTCCCCAAGACATTAGAAGGAACATGGAAAATATACAAGGCTTGTTTTCATCTTTTTGTCTTTCTTCAGTTGCTACGTGATGTGGACATTAAGTGAGTCACATCCAATTTTATGACCTTTTTTCTGCCAAGGATGTTAAACAAACACCTGGTTTCCCCAAATGCCTTTACTTATGGGAAGCCAGCTGGGGAGGTTGCAGATGGCGGTCAGGGGCCCCCAGGGGGCTACAATGCAAGTTCCCTGAATGTGGATGATGGGATTGTGGGGATGCCACCGTGAGGGTCGTGTGAAGCCTGGCCATGAGCCGCTTTGTCCAGCCCTTTCTTGCAAAGTCCGTGGGGGCCACCCCACTTGCCCCTTCATGCCTTCCCCTGCCTGGATGGAAGGTTTGGGACAAGAGTCACCCAGCTGGCAAAGGTGAAGCAGGAGAACCTGAGTTGGGGGGGAGTCTTTACCTTCAGGCACAGAAAGGTCTCCAGCCAGGGCAAACTGTACTGGGGAGGGGGCTGCTCTTAAGGCTGCCGATCTCCATTCAGGTGACTCCAGCAAGACCTGAGGTGGGGGCTCCACCTGGCCGCTGCCACCTGTGTGTGTGTGTGTGTCTGCGTTCTGCCCCCCACCCCATCCGCTGCCCAGGTGGGGAGGAAGAGGCACCTCCTTTGGTCAAAGAGGGAGGGGAAGGAAGGGGGTCCCGGGGTCTGCGGGCCCGGGCAGAGTCCGGGGTCCCAAGGGGGAGCAGCCCCCCTCCCCGCCCTGGCACAGCCGCGCAGCCGCCCCCGCGCCCCTCCCGCCTCTGCTGCCGGAGGGGGGGAGGGGCGGAGCGGCGAGCGAGGGGCGGCCCGGCGGGGCTCCGGCCGGTCACATGGCGCCTCAGCTGGGCCGCGGCGCGCAGGAGGCGGAGGCTGCCGTTGCCTCCGCCGCCGCCGCTGCCAGGGCCGGTCGCGCTGCCTGGCGGGCGCCCGCCGCGGAGGAGCCGGAGCCGGAGCCGCCGCGGCGCCGGAGGTGCTTGGTCAGCGCCGCCATGAAAGGTGAGCGCGGGGGGCTGGGCAGGGGAAGGAGCCGCTTGGCTCCCCGGGCGGAGGGCAGAGCGCAGAGCGGGCGGCGGAGCCCCGGACGCGGCTCGGGCGGGCCGTGGCGGGCGCGGGTCCCGGGCCGGCCTGGGGGCTCTTCCGGGGGCGGGGGGGCGCGGGGAGAGTCCCGCGTGTTCGGGCTTCTCCCCCGCGCCAACTCCCCTTCGGGAGCGGCGCGAGGCTGGGACCCCCTTTGCCTGGCGGGGAATTGGGGCGCGGGGCCTGGGGGGGCTGGGCAAAGGCACCTGGGCAGAGCCTGAACGCCCCCCCCCCCCCCCCCCCCCCCCCCAGCCCGGCCCCGTTTCCAGTCCGCTCCGTCTTCCCCTTCGTGGCTTGGTTGGCGGAGGTTTAGCAATGGCACCTGGGCGTGTAGCGTTGGGTGTTGGTGTTGTTGTTGACGGGGCTGCCAAACATTCGCCTAAGACTGCAGCCGGAGAGGGAACTCGCGTGTCTGTTTCACGAGGTCCGGGAGCAGCTTGATTGGCACCCAGGCTGGGCTGCCCTCGAGTTTGCTGGCCGAAGCCCTCCGCGGCCCCACTTTACGCAACCCCTCCACTCCGCTGGCTCGAGAAGAGCCTTTGGATTTGGCTAATATCTTTGTGACATGGCTCCCAGGGCATTAAACGGATCTGGCCCTAACTTCCCTTCCTTAAACCGCGGCTAGATGCAGGTGATCTTCCGTAGGGAAACCAGGACAGAAACCCAGCTGGCTTCCTTCGGGGAAGGGGGGTCCGGAACATTTGCTTTGGCCCCCCCGAGGCTGCTCCCCGACGGCGGTGAGCTTGGAGCGTGCAGTGCAGAAACTCCTGCTGCTCTCCGGACGCAGCTGAGCTCTGGGCTCCTGGAGAGGCACAGAAATCTCCTCCAAAGCGCCCACCTAGCAGCGCCTGTCACCCGTCACGGGCAGCAGCTTCCCAGAGCATTGTTCCTGCCTGAAGCCCATGAGTGCCGGGTGCCAGTTAAGTCGGTTAGATGGTTTAACATCCTGGAGAGCATCAAACCGAAGAAGCAGCCTGGGTTTCAATGGGAGCTGGCTGGTGAGGGTTGGGTGATTGTCAAATCCCACAAAATGATTTTGTGTGATATGGGCTCTGACACGCTGCTTTAGGCTGGGTTTGTCATATCACGTTTAGGTCTTAATCTTCCCATCTCTGGTCTTGCGGGCGGAGGAAACGGATCTCCTGTAATGACTGTGAATGTTGTTGGTGTTACGTTGTTGTCTTCGTCTTCTTGACTCATGGCCCTTTTTGTTTCTTTTTTGATCTGGCATTCAAAAGCTGCGGGAGAAATCAACCTTAATAGCACTGATTAATTTCTCTTGAATGTTACGGACTGCAGCGTTGGTCTATTGCTAACAAACAGATTTGTGAAAATCATATTCCCTCTCCCTCCCTCCCTCTCTCTCTCTCTCTCAATAATGCCCGTACCTCTCTCTTGTCTTGCGCTGACCTCCGGCTGCTGGGAAGTGATACGATTTGTTGGGGGGTGCAGAGAAAATGAGATGGGAAGGAAGCATCAGGGAAAATCACTTTTTAAGCTCAAATGTACAGGGGAAATGGAGAAATGGGTCTTGATCGTAAGATGATTTTATCGCATGTTGGTGCTTTGTAGGAGAATCAATGATTTAGATTAGGACTCTGAAAATAATGTAGAACTAAAACGGAACATGGGCCCTTCCGTATTCTTCTTCTTCTTCTTCTCTTCCTCCCCTCCCAAAATTTAGGGGCAGCAAATTGCAGGGACTCTGCTGTAACCCTTTGAAAATGAGTTCCATATCCAAAAGGCTAAAAAGTTCAGTTAGAGAAGGGAATGAAAAAGAAAACAGTTCAATTAGGCTATTTGTGATCATTGTCAGAGCACTGGGTGTTCTCTTTGTCATTCTATTAGTTTTACTTTGTTTCTTTTTTATCTGTCTTATATCACTGTGGATATCTGGAGGGTTGTGGAACAGTTTAACAACTCCAAATCTTGACATGAATGAAGCTGTCTTCATTTTTATGGTTAAAAAGCCATAGGAGTAATCTGTGGCTTGATTGTCATGAGTAAACCCTGCAATAATGCCGTAGAATAGCAAAATGGCATTTTAGCTGGTGTAAAGCCTTTCAGAGTCACGCTCTGTGAAGCCCAGATCTCAGTCAGTAAAGAAATAAACAATAATCTGATAGCAGAGAGTTACCAAAACAAGGAACAGACAGAAACTGAATCTTCCTCCCCAAAGAAAGTCACTCCGAGTTCTTTACAGAGAGCCTGGAGAAGGAGAGATTCCAACACTGATAATCATGAACGGCCCCTGCATTGGATACCCAGCAGTGACTGGCATTCCTTCATAAGGGTTTTGTAGTTTTGCTACATTAAATCTACGCTTTGCGTAAATCTTCCTTTCTGGGAAATAAACTCTTAAAGCACGTTGCCTTCTAAACCAAGGCAGGCTGCTGTAATTAGCTCAAGGAAACAAAAATATTGTGGTTAAACAGTCCCTTTATTGTTAAAAAGGAAAGATGAAAGTAATTAGACAACTCTGTCATACAGTGAATTTCTGTTAGTAATAAATAATTGAGCTGTGATTGAGAAGGGACTTTAGAGGCCCTGCACATTCAGCAGGACTGCTGTGAGATTCAGTAAAGGTGCAGAAATTTGTCATTTATTAAACCATGTCTTGCACTTCTTGCTGATATTTTAAAATATTTCTCTGGATTGCTGTTTGAGCCTCCAATGTTGTGACTGGTGTTTGTGATCTCCTTGTCAGAAATGAGAGCTATTAAGGTGGAAATAAAAAGAGGGGCAGGAGGCCACAAAGCATCACAATAATTTGTTTCAGTGCAATGGAGAGAGGGGAGGGGGAGGAGAGAGAGCGAGCTGTAACAGGTTTGTATTCTGTGTGAATGCAACCCCTGTGGCTGGATCAAGCTATGGTTAAAACCCTGGTTTAGCATGAACTATGAACCTGGTCACCATAGATGAATTCACTCCCAGAAGGTCTGTGGAAGATTTTCCTTTCATGTTTAATTGCAATCTGTTGTTTTATGCAGATTCGACAGACTGTATATTTTAACTCGCATGTTTTCATTAAAGGCTGTTCCTGTTTTCCTGCTCCTTATATCATGTCATCTAGTTCGGGCTACTCCTTTTTAGAAGGGTATTCATTTCGTCAGTAAACAATAAGAGGAGAAGCTTGGTTTCTCTCACTCTGGCTTATCTGAGTTGGCTCTGTAGATGAAGCATTTTTTAAGATTAGGTTTCTTTTACTGGCAGCTTCATCCAAACTCCCTTTTTCTTGTTTCTGTTTTGGTGAGCTTTGAGGGGCCAACTGACCACTGCCTGGCAAAGCTCAGCTGGCTGGCACCATTAGCCCAGGAACACAGCCAGGCACCCACTGGGGTGGCCTTCCCTCCACCTGCACTGCCTTCCCAGTCCCTGAACTGGTGGGCTGGCTGGGGGAGGTTAAGGGTGAGAATGGGTCCCATGAAGTAGTGGGTTTCAATTTCATTTGCTACCGGTTTGCTCGCGGGCGCTTGCGCATTCACGCACGCACACACTTCTGCCCATGCGCAGAGATGTCCGGGAGGGTGGGCAGAGCCTCCTGCCATCGCCACTACCGGTTTGCCTGATCTGGGGTGAACCAGTAGCAACCCACCACTGGTCCCATGCCTTGCAGATGCTTCAGGCACTACAAAGAAAGCACCCCAGTTGCTTCGGAAGCGACCCAGCCAGACGGATCCTTTGACATCAAGTCCAAGCTGTATGGCAGCCCCAAAGCAGAGTATAATGATAGTATTCTCTGCCCAATTGTTGGCACTCGGGTTATGGACGTCCCATTAAGCATCTTGAGGTCCTTCCTTCCTTCCTTCCTTCCTTCCTTCCTTCCTTCCTTCCTTCCTCATAGAACATTACAACCAACCATCAAAACAATCATGATACAATATAAATATGTAAAACATATATTGCCCATGGTAAGGTTTCACACACACACAAGCACACACAATCCTACAATGGTAACTTTGAACAGCAACATAACAACCAAGAGTCAGTAATATCAGGGTCACAATTAATCGGCCAATTGTACCAGTCTCATTGTGTGATCCCCATCAAAACTTACCAGCAAGACAACATAAGTAATCAGAGGCCCTCAAGAACAATTCAGGTTTCGGTGCTCCGTCTGGGGAGCAAGGCTCATGTGTCCCAAGGAGATAAACTTAGCCCTTTCCTCTCATGGAAATATGGGATCTCCAAGAGATCCTCTTCACAGGGAAACTGTACATTAAAGTTTGAGATCCGCCAGTCTGCTGGTGACCTTGCTGCTACCTTTGGTGATCGATTTGGTAATGCATGTTTTCCACAAAGAATATTTTTTAGAGTGTTTGGTGCAAACTGACGTTGTGCTCAGCAGTTGATGAGTTGATTCTTGACCTGTTTTGACTTGTGCTGGTGCAACACCAAGAGAAGCCAGAAAAAATATTTCCCCAATCCGTCGGTGTAAGCACTCCACCCACTGATGCTGGGCTGACGTCAATGGGAGTCTGCCATGGATGCGGGGAAGCAGGATCAAGCCTTTGGCCGAGAGGTGTGTTGAGTTGCTGGTTTTCAGTTGTGTGTTAATGCACACACTGGCCTGGAAATACCTGTTCGGAGGTAATCGCGGTGCCTAGGTCAGCATATCTCAACCTTGGCAACTTTAAGATAGGTGGATTTCAACTCCCAGAATTCCCCAGCCAACTGGCTGAGGAATTCGGGGAATTGAAGTCCACCTATCTTAAAGTTACCAAGATAGAGATATGCTGACCTCAGTGGTTCTTAAGTTTGAGAATTGGAATTTGGGTGCACGCAAAGGGAAGATGTTTGATGCCTTCAGATCAATTGGATTACAATTCTCCTCAGTACCAGCATAGACACCTCCTGCACTGTCTGTTCTATAATTTTCAGAATGGTGTACTTGGCTGTCATTCAGAACAGCACAATTGTTGTGGGGAAACTAATCTTGTCACAGCCACTGTATTAAGAGTTTTCTTGCTCTCACGTCCTCCTGGGACTGGAGATGGGGGCCTAGTCTCCAGGCAGAAGTAGTCCACAAAATTCAGAATGCAGAAAAGGAGACGAGACGTTCTAGTGATGGGGCTTCCAGGATCTGGGGTGCCCTCAAACTCAGATTTGGGGCATGCAGGCCTGATGCCCATTTACGAAACCCCTTTGCTGTCTGTCCACAGGCCAAAATCTCCCTCCTAGGCTCCTTTTAGGATGTGATTAATGTACAGTTGTGCAGAATGGACGCCTCGGATGTGTTGATGGATGATTGCTCACAGCAACTCTTGTCATTGACCTGAGACATCTCAGGAGTCTTCTTCAAATAGTCTGGAGCTCAGAGCATTTTGCTGGTGCACGTCTCCAAAACCCTCCTGAACACTGGATAGAGGAATTACGATCGAATCTGCCAGTCTGGCTGTTTTTCTCCTCTTTTGTCTCTCCTTCATTTCATCCCAAGAACGCAACTTTTCAAAACACCTTCAGGGGATTCATCTACCTACCTACCACCAGCCATCAAAAACGATGGGTCAGACAGCTGAGGCTGGCAGTCTTTCTCTAACTAGACTTTTCTTCCTGAAGATCTGTTGCTGAGCAGTGGCGAAGGCCAGAAGCCTTGTGAAAGTCTTGGGGGCCTCTGGCAAAATATTGCCAGTTTCCAAGTTATATTCTGCCCTATTATCGGTGGAGAGACTATTTGAATTGTAATGCCTTTTAGTATTTTTAAGTAAAGTGATGAAATGAATCTTGTCCTGTCTTCATAGATCAGCAATTTCTCGTTGATCAACAACTTCCATGAAATTTTATCATACTTGGAAACGAACCTTTTTTTTTTCTCCATTAGCTTTCCACGGGTATTTATTGTCCAAAATAGAGTATTTTTTAGGTTGCAATGAATTTTGGTTGCTTTGCAAATCACTCGTTTCCTGCCGGAAGGGCAGCTCTGTATAATTCAGTCTTGCGGATTAGTTTGGAAAGTTTGTCCACTTACTGACCCCAAACCTTGTGTTTGAAGGAGGGC